AAAAAAAAGGGATATTGATCGGGAAGAGACGGGGCTGGAATGAAAGCGGGGCTGGAGGAGGCTCGGGTCGGGTTTGGGGGTTTGGGAGCTCCGGCCCCGCCCGATGGGGAGGTTGGAGCCGAATTCCCGGGAAAAACGGCTCCGGGACCCTCTGGTCCGTCCCCATTTGGAGATTGGAGCCGAATTCCCGGGAAAAACGGCCCCGGGATGCTCCCGAGGGTCTTTGTGACACCTGGGGAAGGTGACAGGCTGGAGGTGGGAATTTCCCTGGAAAAGTGGCTCTGGAAAAATAAAAATCACCCCCCCACACCCCATAAATTCGAGGGAATTCTGCTCCACGGTTCCAGAAAAAAAAATCGGGAGTGTGGAATCCAGGAGAGACTCAAAAAATCCAGGGTGGGGGGAAAAAAGCCCAAACGAACCAAAAAGGGGAGGAAAATCCATCCGAGTAAATTTGAGGGAAAATGATGAGGAAAAAATTATAGGAAAAATGATATAAGGAAAAATAATGTAAGGAAAAATAATGTAAGGAAAAGTAATATAAGGAAAAATAATATAAGGAAAATTATAAGGAAAAGTAATATGGAAAAATAATGCATAGAAAATAATAAGGAAAAATAATAAGGAAAAAAATAAGGAAATTAATAAGGAAAAATTAAAAGGAAAAATAATAAGGAAAAATGTATGGAAAATTATAAGGAAAAATTACAAGGAAAAACAATAAGGAAAAATTATAAGGAAAAATAATATAAGGAAAAATAATTAATAAGGGAAAATGATAAGGAAAAATGATAAGGAAAAACAATCTAAGGGAAAATCCTTCCTCCCCCACGTTTTTCCACCCCCTTTTCCCACTAGGAAAACATTCCAGAGGGAACGTGGCGGATGATCCTTAATGGAGCTCCAGGCACTTCTGAACATTCCCTTTAATTTCCCGGTGATTGGGTTTAATTTCCCGGGAATGGGGGGCCTGGGAAAACCGGGAATGGCTCCAGGTAATGAAGGTCGTTCATCATCCGGGGGAGGGAGGAGGAGGAGCGGGAAAGGTTTGGGATGAGGCGGAAAAAGGGTCGGGATTGGGGGGTCAGGGGGGGTTTGGAATTGGGGATTGGGGAGGGGGGAAACTGGGAATGGGAAAATGGGGAATGGGGCAGTGGGATTGGGGGAAGGGGGAAACAAGGAATTGGGAAATGGGGGAAACAGGGATTTGGGGACTGGGGAAATGGGGAACTGGGATTGGGGAATGGGAAAGCAGTCCTGGAATGGGAAACTTGGGAAGCAGGGAATTGGGGAATTGGGAAACTGGGAAAGCAGGGAATTGGGGAACCAGGGAACCGGGGAACTGGGAATTGGGGAAGAAATGGTGGAACTGGGAACCAGGAGCCCCTTTCTTGGGATCATCTCTCAATGGGTCCTGCAAATCCCACCTTTTGGCACCAAATCCCTGTTTTCCAGGTCACAAATCCACCCCAAGCCTCATTTTCCCCCCCTCTCCTCATTCCTGGGAATCCCCCTGATCATTCCCGAGCCCAAACATCCCAGACACAGCAGAGGGAAAGGAGGAGTTTTATCCCAAAAATCCACCAAAAAAAATACCAGAAGAAGGGGGGGGGGG